TAATGTTTGCCCAACTATTGCTATATTTGGGCCTTTCCCCCCTGTACATACTGCATCATCTTGTCATCAAATTGAAAATCATCGAGGACACCGTCGAAGTCATCTATGGCCAATCTTTTCCGCTGCCTTCCCTTGTTGCACCTCTACCACTACCATTGGCCTTTTTCATTAAAGTATCATATGTAGTTACTAGTGTTGGCCAAAGGCCACATCGGTGATGGCATAGTGCGGATACAAAATATCATCATTACTGTTCTGTCGTAGCCTCATAGGTGCCAATACCTCATCGATGTGCTACATCAAATAAAAACAACATAATAAGTATACAATACCTCATGGAAAATGATGGGAATGCAAAATGTCATATTTACCCCCCTTATTGTCTAGTCTTTTATACTTATTTGCTGCCTAAATATACTCATTATTATTCTATTTTGATTTAGGATGCAAATGGAGGCGTTAATTGCAAAACGGAATTAATTAAGTGAATTCGGACAGTTTCGACATTGTTTCGTAATCTGGGCATAACTCTCTCATCCGAGCTCCGATTGAGATGATTAAAAATGATGTGGAACCATAAGATCTAAAACTTTCATGTTTTGAGTTTGGAGAGATACTCGCTGCATCAAGGTCGTAATCGGGCTTGAAGTTGACGTACCTGCACTGCTGACGTTCTGGAACATTCCGCCTTATCATGCAATTGAAATAGGCGATTTATTATTGGGCGTCTTGAAGACTTGTTGCACGAAATTTACAGCTGGAAACACCACTTTCCTATTTTATTATGACTTTATTTTATTTCCAATTAATCAGATTAGGATAAGTGTTATTTTTTAGGATATTAGAATATTTTTAAGAGATTGAGTAGAATTAGAATTCGAATTGGGTATTTTTAAGGGAGAGATCAGATTAGGGCAAGACACCACACCTCTCTTTTCTCTTCTCTGCAATTTTCTCTTTTGAGTTTTGATTATGGCCATGAGCGGCTAAAACTTTTATAACTTGGTCGAAGGAAACGGAGGCCTCGGAATTAATAAACTGTGAGATCTAATCTATATTTTTTAGTGTTCAATTTTCGTGTTTGAGTATTGGATGTTCTTCTGTGCCTAATTTTATGATTGTTTCGTTTAATTACTAGGAGGCCTACTAGTTTATTAATTGTTGCAATCTACTGCTAATTTATTTTTTAATTGTTTGATCCCTCTAACTTGTGAAGCAATTAGGGTTAATAATTTGCTGCGTCAGGAATTAGTAATCTTAAGAAGAACACTCAACTAAATTAAATACAATCGCTTGAGTTTGTGTTGTTTAGCTTCATCGATCTCTCTAATTCTTAAGGCTGCTATTATATTAAATCTTTAGCGCTTGTCTAGGGTTGTTTAGTGGTAAGATTAATTAAGATCGCTTGTTTCCTAATTAATTACAATTAAGAAGAGATAGGAAAATAGTTCCAACAGTGAATATTCAAAGCAAGAATTGATTTATTTTTTCATCAATGATCAGTTGTAAGATTCCGATGGTGGATGTTGACGGAGACCAAGTTTCGTTATTTTGATTGATTTAGATTTGAATTTCTTTTGCTTTTTTCTTGAGATTGTTTCTATTTTACTATAACCCCCCTCAGCCTTGTTCACATAACATAAAATACAGCTAGACACTCTCCGTGGGAATGACCCTGACTCACACTACTACATGTGTTTTTAGGTTTTAATCTTGGTTGCCTACGACAGCACACCAGAAAACATAAGCAAAATAAGGAAAAATAAGGGAAAATAACTCACTGAGTCATCGAGCCACCTGCTCATCGTCAACATATTTTCAAACCACTCCCGGGGATAATCCCTGGTCTTGCACTTCACATGCCCATCACTTCCAGAATCATTGTAATAGACATAGAAGAGTTTTTTATTTTCCTCATCTATTAGCCTATACAAATCGACCTTTAACTCCTCCGTTTTCACTTGCCCACTTCCTCCTCCATTTTCACTTCCCTACTTCCTTCATGTCCCACCTCACCCTCCTCCATTTTCACTTCCCCACTTCCTCCACCTTCCTCCTTACCCTACTCCTCCATTTTTGCTTCTCCACTTTCACTGACTTCCTCATTTTTTTCTTCATTTTCCTTTTCTTTCCATACGTTACTGTCATGTAAGGAGAAATTACATGCTTACTCTTTCGGCTCTCTATTTTATGCTCAGGTTTCACTTCAACCACTTTCAATACCCCACCAACTTCTTCCTCCACCCTATCAACTTTCTCTTCCACCCTTTCATCCGTTCTTCCATCTTCTCAAACCTCTCATAAACAGCTGTTGTAAAACTCTCAAACAGACTGTTCATGAGGTCAACCACCTCATTCTCCCGACCCCGATGCCTCGAAAAAGCAATACTTGTTGTACCGGTTTGCCAATTGGGTAGAGGCGTATGAACCTCTTCATCCTCCTCCTTCTCCTCCCTCCCACCGATTGGAGCTTTATTATCCTTGGCGTCAATAACATTCTCAAGCAGTGGCCCTGAACTATACTCACATGCGTGGCCCCTTCTAGGTCCCGCATTAGGCAATCTATCCTTTCATCTACTACATCCTCCAGTGCTTTGAACGATGTAACATATTCCTCTCTCGCTTCACCTCTAATAGCGGTGAGGAAGGGACAAACGACTCCTTGCAGTAAGAAAAAAAATCAATCAAATTTAAGCCACATTTAAAAGCAAGTGCATATTCAAAAGATTAATCCTTTAGTCTTACCCGAGCCGTTTGAATTTTCATGTCTATTTTGTCGTAATCCCAATGGGTACACTTCTCGATGTGCCATCGCAACATCCTAAGAAATTGTGGTCGCTCATCCGAAGTCTCCATCCTCCCCCCCACTTTAGCCAAGACAAGGACAACCTCATACATCCAAGCCTACATTGTAAAAAAACAGTCCATATCATAATTAAAACACATATAATACCAAAAAATATAACAAAAAGCTATTAATATTTACCTGCATTGCCCATGGGAAGCCAAACAAATTGTACGTGCTCGATCTATTCTTCTCGATAGATTGGCGTTGTTTTAACGCCATGTCTTTTCCTTGCAGGGAGTCAATGGTTAGCTGAAATAATACTCGTCCCCACGGATAAGCATTAAAGAAGTCCATGTTGCTTGCAAACTTCACCTAATCCATATTAACGACTTTTGTTGAGTCCGAAGCCATTAGGATCGAATGCACGAACCATACCAGGCACATCTTGAACCTCTCTAAAGAGGTATACCCACCTTCTCCTAACATTTCCTCTAAATCGTGTCCCGTAATAGATGCCTTTCCCCCCAAAACTTTTTTAGCCAAGTTATCGGCTACCTTACTCTTTTTTATTCTCTCTTGCTCTTCCGCATTTGGAAATGCCCCACATTTTAAGCCTATCATTAGGGCATATTCCATCATCCCACCACAAACCACATTTCTTTTTTTTTTTTTTTTTGGCTTTTAACTGAGTGCAGCAACATATAATGCACTCCCTACCCCTAGAACGCCTTTTTCCAATTTTCTCTGATGTTCATAAAATGATCGAAACAACTCTCTTTGAATCGGTCCATACCCTTCTTCTGTTCCTGTAAAATCTCCATTATTCTCGTAAAAACTTACCAACTTGACCTAACTGTCATCCTTACGGGGAAGTACGGTACCTTATCGTTTACAACCTCCAACCCATAGTCTTTATAATTTACGCTTTAGAAAATCTGCATAATCGATATAAACTAAATCTCAGAAAAAAAAAAAAAAAAAAAAAACAACCAATAGGCTACCAATTTGGGGGATGTAGGCTTCGAGGGCATCGGGGAGTGAGTGTTTTTGGCCTCGAGAGGACTAGGGATGCCAATGCAAGCCCTACAGAGGCTGTTGTGGCAGGTTCCATGAGGTTGGAGGGCTGGGGATGACAGGAGGTGGCGGAATAGGGAGGCTGGAGGGCTGCACTCCAATATGCAGGGCTCTAAACCCCCTATTCCGCCACCTCCAACCATCCCCAGCCCTCCAACCTCCCACAAACAACCTCCCTACGACCTCCCTTGCCTTCCCCCATCCTCTAGAACCCAAACAAAGCCACTCCCCCAATACCCGTCAACTACTCGACAAAACGCCACAACCACCATAACAAGAAAACCAACTACATATCCCCCAAATTTGCACAGATCAATCAAATTTCTCATCAAATTCAAAAAAACAAGTAAAAAATGTACCCTTTCTTCACCAACTTCCTCCTCCTAGCCTAAATTCTCGTCGGTGTCCTTCTCTTCAGAACCGTTTTTCGATTCTTCTCTCTGTTCTTGTGTTGCCGTTGTCTCCTCTGCCTCTGGACCACCTTCACATATCAGATGATCTGCCGGAGCGTCTTCTTCGATAGCCTTTGAATTGTCGCTGTCGCTGGAGTCTAGAATTTGGAGTGGGGTTGGGTTTTCCTTCTCTTTGTGAATATCATCCATGATTTTGTGTAAGGAAGCTTTAAGATCGAATATTTGCCAGAATAGGGCACTTTCGTCGTCGGAAATGGCAGAGAAATCAAAAGTGTTCGTCAGTCATTTTTTGGGTAATTGGCTCAATTAAGTGATTTTGAAGGGTGGAGGTCGTTTTTAATTTTCAAAATTTAAACAAACTTCCATTAATTATAATATTACCCATATATGTTTAAATCTTTTCAGTTTAACTCATTTAACATGTTTAATGAATCCTAAATGTGTCATGTCAGTTTTTCTAAATTAAAAAAAAATTGTAAAATATTTTTAGTGTCATTTTTTTAAATGCAAACTTGGGAGGTCGGAGAGTTAAATTTCCTCGATAAAAATTATATCAGTTGTGTTTCAGAATTCAGAGGTTTAATGGAAAAAATACCAATCCATTAGCTGTTTCTTAATTTTTGTCAGCCCTACCCAACTACTCAACCAGTTGATCTTACAATTCCGCTTCTCATTTTGAGTCAGACGATCATCTCTTTACTTCCGAATCACTGATCGCAAAGCAGACACCAAGTAAAGCAACTCTAGTGAAATGTCATCATCATTTTTTCTTCCACCTGAAATTCTCTGCAATATTCTCTCTCGTTTACCCTCTAAGGACCTCATTACACTCACAGCTGTTTGCAAATCTTGGTTTTCTTTAATCACCCACCAATCTTTCATCTCTACCCACCTCAATCTCCGTAAGAAATCTGATCCCTTTCTTTTGCATTACAAAGCCGGCGATTTTCGCGACAACTTCCTCTCCGTTTTGCATAGCGAAACCTACGCTTACTATTCAACTTTCCCAATCCCATTTATTTGCGAGAGCAATTACTTTAAGTTAGCCGCTTCTTTTGATGGGCTCATTTGCTTGTCTGACTCTTATCAATATTTTGGTCGAATTATATATTTATGGAATCCGGCTATATGGAAACTCAAGATCCTTAGAAATTCTTGTTTCGCTCGAAAGTTTAAAGATTGCGGAACTTTTTTCGCTCTCGGGTTTGGATTTTCCCGCAGTTCTAATTATGAACTAAAGATTGTGAGGATAATGTATTTTGGGGATTTTTATATGCCTGTTTATGTTGAGAAAGAGCCACCAAAGGTTGAGGTTTTCTCATTGGCTACTAATTCTTGGAGAAGAATTGGAACAAATGCTGGAAGCTATGCAATCCAAAAATCTTCGGATGCATATGTCAATGAAGCTGTGCATTGGTTTGCTTCCAAGACTAGGGGACCGTCTAGTAATATTGTTTTGTCGTTTGATTTTGATAGGGAGAAATTTGGAGAGATTATGGTTCCGAAAATTGATCCTGATGGAAGAAATAGGCTTCGAGTTTCTGCTGATGTTTTAAGGGGATTGTTAATCTTGATTGTTCACTGTGTTAACAGCATTGGCATAGTTGAGAATTGTTGCATATGGGTGATGACTGATGAGGGAGTATGGTGTGGCTGAGTCTTGGAATAAGGAATATTCGATTGTACCGGAGAAAAGTATCTTGAGGTCCTTATGCATTGTCAGTGACAATGATTTGTTGATCTTAATGTCTAATAGAGAGGTGGTTTCCTATGACCTTGAGCAACTGCAGTTTAAACATGTTGGAATTGGTGGCAATGATATGACAATAGATTTGGTTACTTTTGTTGAGAGCTTAGTCTTGTACAAAGAAGGATTTCGTTTAAGTCCGCGGAGGTTTTTATTTCCTGAAGGTGGCATTTGTTTGGGGAAGAGAAAATGGAGTGTATTCAAGCATTTGCAACGAAAATGGCGCTGAAACATGAAAAACGCTTCATATGTGGTCTGCTTTATTTTCCTTTGTGTAATTGCGAGCAGATTCTGCTTATTCATAGTTGGATGTATGCTATTGATTCCTTAGCTTGCGTATTTTGTGATTGTGATTACCACTGGTTGCTTTGCTCTTTACGAATTGTGATGAAACATAACTAAACTTATTAGGGTGTACATAAGTACAGGTATTATGACTGGTTAAGTGTAGTGATTATTTGCTAACTAATAATAAATGGTTTTGTTTATTAGTACGAACAATTCTGAATAACTGGACTTATATGCTTCATCGTGTGAGAAGAGCACAATGATATGATCCACTGATGACTAGAAAGTGAGACTCAATTTCACTGTTAGCAAATTTTAATATGACAGGAGAGGATATGCAAGTGGTCGATCAAAGTAAAGTAGGAGTGAAAAGAAGTCTCACAAGGCAATGTTGAAACTTGGAGTGTAGGCAATTCCAGGAGTCAACCGTGTTACCGTTAAAAAGATAAAGAATGAGTTATTGTCTAACTTTTTGTTCTTCTTTTTCAGTCTCAAACTTGTGTAATATGCTGTTTACTTTCTGCTTTTTTGTTTTTGGTTTTGTCTTGGGCTGCTTTGGGCCACAAACTCTTATGCTTTGCATTTTCCTGATTCTGTTTCAGACACATACATTGTTTTGGGTGAAGCAAAGATTGAGGCTGCAGAGCAATTCAAAGCTCCTTCTTATTTACGTAATGTGGCTTCAAAGCCTGAGTTATCGACCATGGCTTAAGATGAACAAGAAGTAGACGAGGCTGGTGTGGTCCGTTTGGATCTGAAGGACATTGAATTGGAGATGACAAAAGCTAAGGTGTCAAGGTCAAGGGCCGTGAAAGCAGTCAAAAGCTGCAAAATGGTGACTTTGTTTCTGCCATTATGGAACTAAAAATGTTCAGCCGAGAGATTATTTTCATTTTCCGTTGTTACCCCCTTGAATGATTGAGGTTGCAGATTTTGAATATTTATTATTAGTCTGTGTTATCTTGTTCTCTTTTTCATTATGTATCAGAATGAAGCAATGTTGGTTGTGGACTTATGCTATACATTTTGTTCTTCAAAGTAGCACATACATATTTACTTCACAGTTGGTTTGAAAGAATTTATGGGAAAATCCTTGATGGGTTTTGATTTTTGACAGTGTATGCACCGAGATTATGGTTGATGATGTATAATGCCATTATTTTGGGGCTCAATTTTGCATCTCAAATTTATATTTTAAGTGATTTTATCTTATTCGGTGGGGAGGTGTTGATGCACGAGATGTGTTATCTCAGACACTGTTAATGTGTAATACTTCAATTATAACTCACGAATATTAACATTGTCCATGGCTTAGTGATATTATTTAATTTTAAACTATGAAGTGGTGAAATCAAGTCGAGTATCTGGTTAATCGAACTCGACTCGAGCACTATAGTATCAAATTTGAGCCTCAAACTCGGTACCAGAAATTGGAATTTGAGTTTGTATAATTGAGTTTTAGTCTAGTTTCATTATTTGAGTCGAGAATACGAGCTTAATCAAATTCAAGTATTCGAGTTTCAATTGAATTCGAGTATTCGAGCTTTAATCGAGTTCGAGTTCTATTATGATTGAACTCGAATTCGAATGACTACTTGAACTCGAATCGACTAACGTCGAGTTGAGTTCGAGCCAAAATCGAGTCGAGCTCGAGGTTCGACTTGATTTTCACCCCTACTAACCCAAGAGGTTGACTTGACAGTCAAGAATATATTTGTTCATTCTATTGACTTTCTGGGTTTAAACCACTTTGGGGTTATATACCATATTTGTAACCTACCTTAGAATATTAGGTTTGCAGGGTGTTAGGGTGTTCAATGGACCCTGAGAATACAAGCTACTTTAGACACCCTAATCATAAAGAAAAAAGAAAATTAAACTACACTCCATTGCATCCCATCATTTAAAAATTACTAATTTTCAAAAGAAAAGAAAAACGAAAGTAGTGGCTCACTCAAATATATTATTATGTGACTCTCAAGTTTATACTCCAAAATGATTTCAAATATTTCTCACTAATTAGATTGGAATGTGATAATATAAAATTATATAATATTACATCATTCAAAATACAAAATAGTTTTTATGTGAAAACATCAGCTCAATTTGCTTGATTCTCTGCTAGGCAGCCCAAATCACTCTAAACCCAAACCCAAAGGGTCCATCCCTATATATAAAGCGAAATATAAGTTAGACAAACTAAGCGGTGGGTAACTAGGGTTTCATTAGCTCATTTCTTCGTTTCAAAACGTAACCATGACTGCTCAAACTCAGGAAGAACTCCTCGCTCAACATCTCGAGCAAGAAAAGCTCAACGTAAGCCTTTCCCACCATTTCTCTTTTCGTAGAACCCATGATTTTTTTTTTTTTTTTTTTTTTTAATTTGTATATATTACTGTTAATGAACTCTTCGTTAAATTATGGCATGGGACACCTTCATTTACTGTGAAACTAGTGTAAATGATTACCCGTGTGTCCGGCTTGGTTAAGATGAAAGTTATATTATACATCTTAGAGTAGAATGAATTTTGTAAAACCCTTTGTTGTGCGGTCCAATTAAAGACTGAACAAGTCCGAGCTTATTGAGTACTTGTTCTCTTTTTTGTGAAAAAATTCTATCTACAAACCAAAGTAATGAGGTTTGTTGTGGGTTTTCAAGCTCTGATTTGTGGCAGTGGGGACAGTGTTTGATAATCTTTGCTTGCATAGTTGAGAATTCATTGTAATGTTTGTTGCAGCCTGATGAGCCTTGCTTGAGGATGAGGATGACGATGTGACGATGAGGAAGATCGAGGATGACAAGGATGAGAGGATGCTGGAAGTAAGAGATCAGTCAGAAATACAATCGTTGTGCAAGAATTGTAGATATTGTAGAAAGGTTTTTGGACAGTTACCGATAGAGATACTAGTGTCTATCTTTATCTGCCGCTTATAATAAGTTGGATTTATGTTTTTATTAAACATACTCAACGTGGAGGATATGTTATTTTTTACTTGTTCTTTTACAGCATATTTTTGTATAAACAAAATACTGCTGTTAAATGGTTTTGTTATTCTTGATCAGGATGTTTTTCTTTTAGCTGTTTGGCAATAGATTTATACCTTGGTGCAAATAATTGAGATGTGTAGAAGGGTTCGCAGTGTTCCTCAAATACTACTTCAACCTTTACATTGAAATAATATGATCGGCTTTATGATTTTTTGGGTATTAGACTATTGTAATACAATTTTGACACAAATTTGGACACAAATTCATGGCCATTGATTCAATGTATCCAGTGGACTTGATGAGAAGTTAGAGTTTTAATTTTTAATGCCAACTAAACAATTTTTTTGTTGCAAATTTGTGTTAAAATCGCTTGGCGCTTTGTTGGGAACATTATAAGTGCAAAAGGAATTTGAATATTTCTTGTAGTTGGGAGAGTCCCTTAATAGTCCATACATGAAAACAATTTATGTATGCTCCACATTTTTGGAATCATAACCACAGTTAGTTATAAATAGTTTTGATATTATTTTTATATTGTGATGTAACTTAGCATTCAATCAGATTTATGAATTAATTGGAAAAGCATTGTTAGGATTGGAAATAATATTAAAGAACTTACATGAATGCAGTGCATATGATGAAAAGATATATTTGAGATGCATATTATTAGACTCGAACATTGTAGTTTAAACACATTATTAGAGTTGTAAACAATTGTAATTTATGAACATTATTAGTTGAAGGTAGGGACCATTTCACTGGTGGAAATTTTTCTCATTTTCAGGAAAGGAGATGTAGTGGTCGATCAAAGCAGAGCCGGAGTGAAAAGAAGTCTCGCAAGGCAATGTTGAAGCTTGGAATGAAGCCAATCCCAGGATCACAGTCGTGTTACTGCAGAAAAGCAATGTCTGTTTGAATTGCTCCCAATTTTTGTTTTCTCTTGTTTGCTTAGTCGTCGATTTCAGTTTAATATGAACTAATAGCTTTTAATTTTCGATTCTGTTTGTTATCTCAAAACCTGATGTTTTCAAGAGCCCAACATCAGAGACGTACATTGTTTTTGGAGAAGCAAAGATTGAGGATCTAAGCTCGCAACTACAGACCAGGCTGCGAGCAGTTCAAGCACCTCCTTCTAATTTGACTAGTGTGGCTTCCAAGCCTGAGTCATCTACCATGGCTCAAGATGAAGAAGAAGTAGACGAGACTGGTGTGGACCGAAGGACATTGAGTTGGTAATGACACAAGCCGGGGTGTCAAGATCAAGGGCTGTGAAAGCACTGAAAGCGCAGATGGTGACATTGTTTCTGCCATTATGGAACTAACAAATTGATTCACTTTATAAAGATGTTCTGCTTAGTGGTCTTTTTTGAGGATTTCTCTTGGCGTTGTTTCTCTTGAAGAATTGAGGTTGCAGATTTTGAGTATTATTATTACTGTGTTTCTTTAGTTCTCTTTTCCTCGTGTATCAGCTCATGATTCAATATTGGGGTTGCACTTGTGCTCCATTTTGTTTTTAATCGCAGTTGTTTGGACAGAAATTATGGGAAATCCATCATGGCTTTGAGATCATGATCAAAGATAGGTTGATAAACATTTTTTAACAATCTTCTCGATAAAATTTTTTTACAATCTCTTTTCTCCCAAACGTGTATGACAGTTTTGTAATTGGTTATTCGTATAGTTAAGCATTTATATTTATTCATAATTCGCAGATGGGGCGCTGTTATATTAGGTGAGTGAAAGTTCGACTTTATTATTATTATGGGTAGGTGCGATTTTATATTGCATTAGGTAACGAAGCAACGGCCTGATCAATTACGAATTCTGATATGGCTAAATCATGTTGCGTGTTGCTGAGAAAGTGAGAAGGGTTTGTTAATATAGTATTATTCTTGAAATATGTTACTTGTGAGAGAAAGTGAGAAGGATTTATTAATATAGTATTACTTATGAGATCATATGCAATGAGGTATTAGTGCAATTAATTGGAAATAATTTCTGACTTATGATAGAAAATTTGGAAATCATCTAGAATTTGTAACATTATTCTTATTGAATAATTTCTTATTACAATTGCTAACAATTAGCAATGCAAAGATTAACTTAAAATGATATTTCAATTTGGGTTATTAACTCTCCATTATCTAAATTATTGTCAATATTTATGCAACAATTTGGAAATTCCTTTCAACGCTTTCTTCTTTTAGGATGAAATCCGGGCTAGATTTGATTATCAAGATATAAAGAGAGCACATAATTATGTATTATTGATGGTAAACAGTGAATGATATATTAATTAATTAATGATAACAAAAATTAGAATATAAATTTAGAAAGTGAACATTAAAAGTTGAGGATGAGGAGAGTATGATAAAACAGATTTTGGTTAGAATTAATATCAAAATGTGATGTGATTCGTTGTAAAAGTAAAATGATGAGTTGAATTTGGTTGGTTCCTCAGTGAGTTAGCCTAAACCACTCCAACCCAAACCCGAACGCGAATAAGACCAGGTTCCATTCCAATCCATCTACATAAAACTCCATTTCATATAGCTTGAGTTCGATTATCGGGTATTGTTAGGGTTTTGTCTTCCTCTCAACTCTGAAACTTAACCAACTCAAATACCAACAATGACTGCTCAATCCCAAGAAGAACTCCTCGCTGCTCATCTCGAACAAGAAAAGCTCAACGTAGGCCAATCCTACCCACTGAAATTTATTTAATTTCGTTCGTAATTGTTTTTAATTGTATATTTTTCAGTCAATTACCTCTTTGTAATTTCTGGATTTACGAAGTTTTGTGGCATAGGGCACCTTTGGTTATCGAATAAAGTAGTGTAAAATGAACACCTCGTTTCTGGCTTTTTAATTTTTTTAATTTTTTATAATAAAAATAAAAAGTAAAGTTATGAATGTTTGAGTTGAATGAAATTTTTTTTTTACCTTTTTCTTTTTCTTGGTCCCAATTTAAGACTGTGTTCGAACTAATTGAATACTAAATTTTGCTTTCTCTGTTCAAAATTATGAGACTAGTTTGAGAGGGTCGATCGTATGCTAATTTGCTTTGGTTGATTTAATGAGGTTTGTTGTTATGGCTGTTGTAAACTTATGATTTGCTTGTGGATGACACATAATAATGTTTGTTTCAGCCTGATGAGCCTGTGGTTGAGGATGAAGATGACGACGATGATGATGAGGAGGATGAAGATGATGACAAGGATGAAGAGGATGCTGAAGGTAGTATCAGAACACAAATATGAATTTTGTTAATATTATTTTCTTCCATTCTTTGTTTCTTTGCAAGCATGTGCGTTCTAAGAGTGTGTGACAACAATTAGCTGATGAAGATTTCATTATTGTAGATTAAGAACATTGTTTTTGATGTAGACCTGTCTTTAATGTGGATAAATATAATCTTTGTGCAAAGAATTCTGAGATATTGTATAAAGGGTTTGAAGAGTTACTCAAATTCGATTGTCAATCTTTACATGCTGAATATTTTTCATTGATTTATGATTTTATTGTGTAGCATTTTAAACTCAGAAGTATTTAAGTATTTCAAGCCGTCTGGAGAGATCCCTTAGTAGACTATACACCGAAAGCATTTCATTTATATGTCAACATCTTTGAAATGACAATCAGTGCTATAAATAGTTTTGATATCATTGCATAGATGGGATTTTTAGTACCTCGGAAGTTCAATCATATTTATGAACTAATTTAGAAAAGCATGGTAATGGGTTGGAAATAGAATTACTGAATTCACATGGATGCAATGCATATCTTTAAAAGATCTACTTGAGGTCCCTAGTTAATAGAATTATAAGACGTATAATTTACAGTTTAGTTTGGACATATTGTTTGTGATCATTGTATACAGTGATTAGTACGAAGTTTGGCACAAATTAACTGTTGGAAAAATTTATTATATTCCAGGGAAAGGAGATGGAAGTGGTCGATCAAAGCAGAGCAGGAGTGAAAAGAAGTCTCGCAAGGCAATGTTGAAACTTGGGATGAAGCCAGTAACAGGAGTTAGTCGTGTAACAGTGAAAAAGAGCAAAAACGTCTGTTTTTGAATTTTTGTCCAACTTTTTCTTTCTTTTAATCTAGTTTAGTTTTTAAACATATAATTTAAACTCTTATGCTTTTTATTTTCAGATTCTGTTTGTTATCTCAAAACCTGATGTTTTTAAGAGCCCCACATCAGAGACATACATTATATTTGGTGAAGCAAAGATTGAGGATCTGAGTTCGCAACTGCAGACTCAGGCTGCAGAACAATTCAAGGCTCCGCCACCTAATTTGAATAATGTTGCTTCAAAGCCTGAGTCATCAGCCATGGCTCAAGATGATGAAGAAGTAGATGAGACTGGTGTGGAGCCGAAGGACATTGAGTTGGTGATGACACAAGCAGGGGTGTCAAGATCAAGGGCTGTTAAAGCACTCAAAGTTGCAAATGGCGACATTGTTTCTGCCATTATGGAGCTAACAAACTGATTTGTCTCATTATTAGTGAATGTTTTTCATCTGAGTGGTCGCTCCAGGATTTTTTTTTTTTTTTTTTTTTTTTTCATTTTCCGCTGTACCCTTGTGAATGGGTTACAGATTTTATTTTTATTGTTGTATTTGTATTTTGCTCTTGCGCCCGTGACTCAGCACTAAACAGCAGTAGTCAGTTTTGGTTGTTACATAACTGTTCCTGGAAGTAGTAGCTTAGTGCATATTTACCCACTTCAAAGGTGGTTAGAATATTATAATGGGGAAATTGTTTGTAGTTTTAAGAGTAAGCTGAATAAGGATGTGAATCATGTGATTGATAAGAGGAATGTTATATATCATTAGTTTTATATTTGGTATATGGTGATAGAATCATGCAATATTATATTTGCCTCTACTAAACTTTGATTAATTTCATGTCTTAGACAATTCTAAAGCATTGTTTTAAAACTCGGATCGGATTGGCTTATTTGATCATTCTTATCGGGAATCGGCCCCTTCTTTGGTTTGGGGACACTCTAAACTTTGTTTTAGTCATTGGCTCGGAGTGATCGGTGGTTGAACAGGCGAAACAGGGTTGAATGGGCGGTTCAGTTTCGCCGGTTCAACCATCGGGTCAAAGAATCGCCTCTTTGTTGTCGCCCAAGGGAGATGCCCCATGTTTCTTCTTCACGTCGTGCACCATGAGGCTGTTACCAGCTGCTCCTCAGCCACTTCGTCGCCCACAAACACACCCATACTCACCTTGTCCAACCCATTGTGTGCGCCACCAGTGGGTTCTGTTGTGGCGGATGGTGGTATTTTATGGTGGATCAGGGTTTTTCTGGTGGCCTGGTGGTGGTTTGTCTGGTGTCGGGTTGATCTGGGTGGATTGTAGTTGTAGTTAGGGGTGTTCAAAAGAACTGGTTAGAACTGAAACCGGCGGGTACCCTGGGTTTGGTTCCAATTCCTACCCAAAACCAATAGTCAATGGGTAGGTTCTGGTTCCAAATTTTTGGAACCGTTACTGTGCTGTTCCTGTTCCGGTTCCGATTCCTATAGTTAGGAATCAGAACCAGGAACCAAGAACCGAGACTAATATAAAATAAAATTAAAGATTAGGGGGTTAATAAAATTTTTTGTAGAAAAAGTAATGTGAATACATTTATATTTATATTTCATAACATTTAAAGTAAGTTGGTTTGACTTTTGAGAATCTATCTTTACAAAGTAATGGAGTTTGTAATTTTGAATTTATAATTTGTAATTTTATTTTTGTTAACAAGTGCCAGGTGGGTGGGTATTTGTAAGTTTTTAAGGGTTTTTTTGCCATTTTAAAAAACTTTTGGGAGGTCATGTAATTTTATAGGATACCCAGAACCGGAACCGGAACCGTTGTTACAGGTTCTGGTTCTGGGTACCTACGAACTGGAACCGTCGGTTCCGGTTCTGGTTCCAAATTTCAAGGAACCGTCGGTTCTGGTTTCTTCAAAAAGTGCAGGGTACTCGAAACCGAACACCCCTAGTTCAGTGGTTAGGGTATCCTAGCCAGATCACAGGGGTGTGTTTGCTAGATTTCAAACCTATAGGGATTGATGCGTAATTTCTCAAGGGTATGTTTTTTAAGTTTCATACTAAGATTTCATGCTGATATCACCGGTTTGACTCGCTAGTCGAACCAGTCGGATTGCCTAACCCAGGAACTGGCCTCTTGACCGGGTTGAGTTTCGAAACATTGTTCTCAAATCAAAATCAGTCTATAATAGTTATGAGTTATGACTTGAAAAATCTAAGAAGAAAAAATGTTGCCCCCTATTTGTGATGTAGGGCTTCTACTGTAAATTTGGTTCCACATTTATTCATTTCAAGGTATCTAAATCTTTTTATCCTTTGAGCATGAATTCTATACTGAAATATGAACCCTTATAAACCATACACATATATGAGAAAAATAAAAGGGAAATTAATAAGGTAAAAAGGTACATATCATGTTACAATAAAGCCTTGAGGGATCACATGCTACACCTTTGCAATAAAATTTAGAAATATTAAAGCACCTCAAAAAATGTTAGCTGGGTAACATTATGATATCACAAAATTTTGTTGTTGATTGATAGTCTTATTCTTTTATTTGCAATAAGAGCAAGACATATTTGCAATGATCATGTATTGGGTCATCATGTAAGACAACCATACCAAAACTTTTCAAGATATCCAATGTATTCAACATATTCATATTATGAGAAGGTTTGAAACTTTGGTATCTTAATGTTTAAACTTTTTGCATTAACATGCAAAATTCATCGTTCTGAAACCCAGCCGGTCTGACCGGTTTAACCGGTCAGATTGAGACTCAAGGCCTTCTCCAGGCTGGGTTATCACTTTCCATTGTTTCCAAAATCCCTAACCTAACCGCCGACAATGCGGGGCTACCAAATGTTGGGGTTAGAGGGGTTTTGTAGAGTGGATGCCTGTAGTTTAGGTAGTGATGTTAGATTGAATTTTGGATGTTAGAATCAGCTGGATTTTGGTTGGAAAAATCAACCCAATCGTGGCAATATACTTGAGTCACAACCAATGAACGGGGGGCTACCAAGTGCTGGGGTTAGAGGTGTTTTGTAGAGTGGAGGCCGGTGGCTTAGGTGGTGGTGCCAGATTGAAATTTGGCCACTGAAAACAGTTGAAATTTGGCCAAAAAAATCAACCCTATTGGCCTCTCATGTGTTTTGATGTGCCAAAAGTAACTAAAAAGTTGGTTGATCACTAACCAAAACATGCTAAGGTATGACACAAGTCATAACCAAACCAAAACAGATTTGTCAAGTGGTATGATCACGCGTGAGCAAATTTTTCAAGTGTTACGATCCTGCACGATCAAGGCACGACCATTCAGTATCATAAAAAACTACCCAGATGAATGTACCATTTTGCATGACATCGTTCCATATAGTCATCTAATGTTTTGCCAAAATTTGTGACATCGCTCATTCTAGCACGACCGTTCCACTCAAGTCAAAAGTCAAGATATTTCAAATTCAAAATCCTTCGTGCTCTTGACTATTCTTCAAAAGTCAATCTTGCAGATCAAGTCAAAACTCAAAGTATCAAAAGTGGAATGACTGTTCTCCGTGGTGGAACGACTGTTCCTATCTGCATATTTTCTATCTAATCGCTGACAACATTCGAAGAAGCTATGCATGCTTCTTGAAATTTGATGGAATTGAAAGAGCCTTTGGTTAGACTATTTTGCGTGGTGGAATGGCCGTGCGATGCTTTGGCATGATCATACAGCGTGGTGGAATGATCATTCCATAAACCCTAGATATGAGAAAAAGTATTTGTTGTTTTAGGAATGACCGTTCACGATTATGGAACAATCGTTCCTTTAGGTTCTGTAGACTTTTTAGAGTTGCATTAAATGAGACAACTCAAATTTGAAGGGATATAAAAGCTCAACGTCTTTATGCAAAAGGCAGAGGAGAGTCTTATAAAAAATCAGAGAACATTCTCATATAATCCATAGAGCTCAAAATCCAAATCAAATACTCTCAATTGCACTCATATTGTAAATCTTTGTGAGTGTTTTTGTTCTTATTGTGTGTATAAGCCTAAAAAGAAGAGGTAATCATTCATAAAACCCTTTGATTAAAACCTTGTTGGCGAAATCCTGTAAAACTAGAGAGTGTTGGCGAAATCTTGTAAAACTAGTGAAAGTGTTGGTGAAATCTTGTAAAACTATTGTATTGGCGCAATCTGATTCTAGTGAAACTTCAAGGAGGTTGCCTTGAAGTGGATGTAGGAGACTTGTGGTTATAGTTCTTAACCACTATAAATTTCTGAGCATTTCTCTCTCTTTCTCTCTCTCTTTCAACTTATTTATCACTCTTGCACATACATTCATTGTTCACATTTATTGCTTGTTTATCTTTATAACTTGATTACATTTATTGTTCTCTATTGGGTATCTTCTCTGCTCATTTATGCTATCATTATCATTGTCATTCTTTGCTTGTTGAGTTCATTTAATGAATATTGATTTGTTAAACTCATCATTAGCCATTGCTTGTGGTGATAGTTTTTATTCCACGATAATTATTATTAGTTCCTATTCAGCCCCCCTCTAGGAATATTAGCCGTATTTAGGGTTTCACAAACCCAATCGCGATGGTATATGAGAGTTACGACCGATGAACGAGTGGCTACTAAGTGCCAGGGTTAGAGGGGTTTTATAGAGTAAAGGCTGGTGGTTTAATTGGTGGTGTCGAATTGAATTTTGGTCACCAGAATCAGCTAGAATTTGGCCGAAAAAATCAAAACCCTATCTCTTTGTAGAGTGAAGGCCGATGGTTCACTTATGTTCCAATCACAATTCGTAAAGAAAGCAACGAGATATAATCACAAACAAGCATTTTTAGGAATCAATATCTTACATCAACCTTGTTGAATTATTATTGGTATTTCAAAAAGAATTTGTGAGGACCGTTATTGTTTTTATCCTATTGACCTACTATTCCTAAACTTTAGCAAGGAGTTTTACTAACTGTTGGAGTTAACATTATTCTTGATTTCTCATAACATTCACAAGCCTTATTTTTCTCTTATATTTTTCTCAATCTCAATCTTATTATAACGTTATAATTTTTACACTATAAAAAGAGTTGTTATTCTTTAGAATTATACAAATCATCAGCCTTCCTCTCTATACTTCTTCTCTGGGTTAATAAAATTTTCCTATTGTTATGCGTACCTAGAATTCATTTCAGAAGAACCTGTTAAATCCTGGGGGATTTTCACATTCTTGAAATATTTGTTGTGGCGAAATAATCCTTAAGGACAATGTTTATAACACGTCTCAGGTTTTCTATTTTTTCCTTGTTTCTAAATTATTTTACAACAATCTTAAGGATTATGGAGTCTACTCTCGGTAACAATTCTCCAACTGTTGCTACCAACAATTCTTTTGTTGCTGCTATTGACAATCCTGCTGCTATAGCTTATGGCAACACCTCCTCCACTGCTGGCCTTCATGGGGTGTCCCATTCAGTTGCCTCTATTGTTCCAATAGTCGCCGCTGCCTCATATGCCAAACCTTTTCCTGATATCTCCAAAATTGAAATGTTTGGAGGACAAAATTTTAAAAGATGGCAAGAACACATTCTTTCGATCCTTGACATGTTCGGTGTAGTTACTGCTCTCACAGATCCTAAACCTGGACCATCCGTTGATCCAAAACAATTGGAAACCTAGACTCATGCTACAAGGTTTATAGGCATACAATCGTTAGCACCTTATCTAATATATTGTTTGATATCTATTTCCCCTATAAAGAAGCCAAGGATATATGGGATTCAATGAAACTAAAATACAATATTA